GACGATTCCCTAAGACCACACAAAGGGAAGCACCATTAGAATAAAGCTGGAGACCTTCTAAAACCTGAAGGGACGTATTAGGCAGGATCCAGTCTGTTCAGACTGATGCAGGTCCTCTGCTGAAGATCATTCAACTCATCCATGATTTGGAATCCAAAGGTCTGAATTCGCTCCTTCCCAGAAGTGTTCTTTCCAAGGTTGCAGCACAGCACAGTAAGATCAGATAATGGTGTCCTGTGAATGGAAGTGAATGTTAGAAATGCCATATGTTTGCGTAAGAACACAGGAAGAGCCTTGCAGGAGCAAATGGAAATTCTCTCTAGCTTTGCATCCTACTTCCCACAGTGACCAACCAAAGACTCTGGGAAGTGCATGGATGCAGTCGCTCTCCTACTACTTCGTTCGAAAACAGCTGGTAACCACTGTGAGAGGTTATCTCCATACATGGGCATTTTATTAAGTGTTCTGCACTAAGAGCTCTTTTAATTATTAGACATTACTTCAGAGCTCAGGTTTGGCTTGTTTCCATCCTCAGTTGTGACCTGTTTTGTTTTGTTTTTGCAGTTCATTTGAATGCGAAGAGCATGCATTTTTCAAGCATGCAGTTTCCCTCATTACATGAATTTTTAAACAATGCGCTTTACATGCATGCTTTAGATTGGGCATTTCAAATATTGCTGTTTTTAAAAGTGCACATGCTTGGAAGTGCACCCTTTGCAAATGTGGTGGGGAATGGAAATGAAGTTACTGTGAATCTCTGTTCTTGATAGATTAATCTACTACGAATTTGTCGAAACTTTCTTTAAAGCCATTTCATCCCAGGCTACTATAAACCCATGGCAAACTCACTGGACAACTGTGAGCCATTCACTGAGTCTCAGCATAAGCTATCTCACAGGGTTCTGTGAGGATGAAATGGAGAAGAAGGGAATGATACAGACTGTTCCTGGGTACCTTGAAAGCAAAAAGATGGGGAATGCATGCAATAAATGAATAAATAAACCACACAGAACGATTTGCTTTCCTGGAATCTACTGCTGATCACTTTGATTGGGTGATCCTATATTCTAGTCTTCAGGGACAGTGGAGAAAGCAAGGTTCTCTCTGTACTCAGCTTCTGCTTACCATGCATCAATCAATGTTTTTCCCCTGGTGACTCATTTCTAGATTCAATTTGTAGGCTAAGGCAGCCTTCCCAAACCTGGTTCCCACCAGATGTGTTGGATTACAACTCCCATTAGCCTGAGTTCTGGTCTAACACAACTGGACACCACCAGGTTAGAGGAGGCTAGTTTAAGGGGTCACTGAGAGAGCACAGTGATGCTTTAAGGGTCAACAACCTTGTTTGGTCTGTGAGCTGGACTGACTGACCTTGGGCCAAGCAGCAGGCCAGATGTCCGAGGGGTAGAGTCTCACCTTGGGGAACACCTGTCCACCAAAGCCACCCAAGACACTTTTACTTAAAACGGTGCTGTGGCAGAGCTTTGTGAATACTCTGGGCTGACAGCAAGGTGAACTTCTCTGCGGTGGCGCCCCACCTATGGAATGCGCTCCCCAGAGAGGTCCGCCTGGCGCTGTCGTTATTTGTTTTTCGGTGCCAGGCTAAGACCTTTTTATTTAAAACTTATTTTAAGTGTTAATTTATTGTGTAGGATTTTAAAAGTTTTTAAGCTGAGATGCACTGGGTTTTAATATTTTTATTGTATAATTTTGTATAACTTTGTTTTTGTTGTAAGTCGCCCCGAGGCTTTGTTGCGATGAGGGTGGCATAAAAATGTTTTAAATGAATAAATAAACAAGACATCCTAGATCCAATCAAGGCCAAACTTGCCCTGAAAATTAAAAAAAATGACGAAACTGAAGCTGACATACTTTGGGCACATCATGAGAAGGTAAACTTCGTGGAGAAGACAACCATGCCAGGGAAAGTCAAAGGCAGAAGAAGGAGAAGACAAAGACTGACTAAGAGATGCTTGGATTCCACAAAAGAAGCCAAACCCTTAAAGCTACATGAGCTGAGCAGGGCTGCCAAGGCCAGGAGACTTTGGAAGACATTCAGCCACAGGTTTGCCATAAGCTGGAGATGACTTGATGGTGCGTAACAGCAGAGGGAAAGCGACTCAGCCAGTCCTTGCAAGTGTTAGCCTCTGTGTACTGTTCACACGTCAACTGGACTGTGGGTGGCATAGGAAAGACAGCTGGGGCATGCAGGATTGGGTTCTGCAGGTCAGGGTCAAGGGCATGGAAATCCCCTTGGTCTCTTACATCTCTGCTCAGAGATAATAAAGGGGTGGCCCTTCCAACCTTTCTCCTATTGGGGAATATCAGAAATAATATTCAGGTTCTTCTCCCTAGATTAGGATGTGGGTCTTGGAAAGAGAAGATTGCAGGTCCCACAAAGGCTGTCCGTTCCTCCCCAGCCAAACAGGGCAAATGTAGAGTCAAACCAACTCTGAGTTTTGCTGGCCTAAATTTCTGTGCAGATCCATTGCCATTAATTGGACCCCAGTTTCCCCTGAGCCATGCGTTTTTAGCCTTGCTGCAGTCATCTGGGGCGGGCAGAATGTGTGTAACACACAATCGCTTACTCACTCTGCTCTGACACCCACCTTGTATCTCCCTCGTAGTAAAAGAAACAGAAAACGGGTTCTGTTCTGCCTTCCCTTATTTCCCTGGAGGCAATTTTTGTTGTAAATCTCTGTAAGCTACCTGAAGAGATTTGTGGCCATTTAAGTCCGCCTTGTGAAGGAATTCACGAGAATGGCTAGCCCAGAAATGTTTTTACCAACCTTGCTGCACAGACATCCCTGTTGAAAAAAAAAGTGCTATATGGACACCTTGGAAGTGAAGGACAAAGAGAGAAAAAGATAAGAATTGGTCGTGGGGACACCCCAATGCAATTTTTGCTAGTCATGGGCACCTGGCTATTTTTTAAAACACATTTCCTTTTAATTCTTATATACTTTTACAGCCATGTGCTTCAAACTGCTTTCCACCGAATGTCAGATAAAATCCATGCAGTTAAAACAATCATAGTCCAAACAGAGTTTATGTGGATGCAATAAGATTTCCTAGTGGTTTTGTTTTGGTTTTGATCTTCAAAGGAGCTGTGGATGGTTCTGATTTTTCATTTCCCCTGTCACCCCACTACCACCCATGAAGATGGCATTGATCCTGCTTTTATGCCGTTCTTTCTGCCACAAACCAAAGCACATATAAAATGTTGTTCTTGTAACGGGACATATGAATGACAGGAGGGTTGGAGCTAAGAGAATCTCTCTGGGAAGAGAACTCCACACTGGGGGCCCACAAGTAATAAGGCCCTGTTCCCATTAGGTGGAGACATTTGAGGAAAATATTGGCACTGAGCAATGTGCTGGAAAGGAGTTTCTCTCAGCTATGCAAGCAGTTAGGTTTGAGTGCAATAAGGTGTGCACTCAAATAAGCACGAGGTGGTGCATGTTTAGGGAGAAAAAGGGCCTACAGCTCTCAACATTTCCCAGACAGCCTTGCTGGTCAGGGATTGCTGGGAGCTGTTGGACTCTCTTCTGTTTAAACATGCATAGGATTGTACCTTAAAAGACAGAGCCATGGCTTCAGCGAAATGGCGACTGAAGAACCTAAGAGCTATGCTGGATCAGGCCAAGGGTCCATTTGGTCCAACACTGAGTTCACACAGTGCCAGCCAGCTGCCCATGGGAAGCCACCAGGAGGCCATTGATGCAATAGCACCCTTCAACCCTAGTTCCTAGTTTGACATGCATATGGTAGGCATGTCATGAGTGGAGCCAGCTGGATCCAGGGGTCAGACTAAATGGCCCAGGAGACCCCTCCTGACTCACTCCGTTTCCTCCGCAAGTGCTGTACGCTGTCTCTGACCCTGAATCCATTGATCACCTTTTCTTCTATGAATTTTCCCAATCCCCCTGTAAAGCTGCCAAACTGATGTCCATTATGAAGGTGAATTCCATAGTGAATGGTGCACTGTGTGGAGAAGCCCTTCCTTTTATCTGCTCCGAGGCTCCCACCCATCAGCTTCAGAGGGTGACCCAAAGTCCTAGAATTACGAGACCTCGACTTAGAGCCAGGTTAAGCCAGAGCTCGGTGCTGTCCGAGGCATTTAAGGATATTTAAGAGTTATAGAGTAAGAGTAAGATATTTAAGAGTAAGAGTGGGCACGATGAGGTACCCACCTCAGGGGTTTTAACAGTTCAGTTTTGTATGAAATACTGTTATCTCTGCTAAATTGTTTAAAAATTTGTATTATGGGAGCAACAGTGGCTCTTTCTTACTATTTTATGGGCCTATTTGGAACCATTGCAAGCTGCCCAGGGAGCTTTAGCTATTGGGCACTACAGATGTTAGGTAAAATATTATAAATATTTCCTTACCTACTTTCTCCGCACCATGTGTAGCTTTGTGGACCTCTATTGTGCCCCCCCTCAGTTGCCTTTTTAGTTTTCTCATTCTGGAGTTGCGACAGCCCTTTGGTAATTTGCACTGCCCTTTTCTGCAGTTTTCCCGGCTCTGCAATATTTTCCCTGCCTGCCCCCTGCCCCTTTCCATCCCTGCCTGGATTCAGGGAGGGATTTGAAGAAAGCAAGGCTGATGGCTGGGCAAACCAAGTTCAAGTGTTAATTCGAGAAGCCCTCCTCTTGGGGTTCTTAACTTATTCTCATTGTGCAGCATTTGCAAGCCATTCAAGTTGTGGCTCCTTCTGAATCCTTACCTGCATTCCAGTGGATTGTTAATGCAAATGGTTGGAAGTCACACTGAACCACGGCCTGGCTGCCCCCTCCCCCTGCACATCTGCCGTATTGTCTTTTTGCAAAGCCTTTTGGTTGCCTGGCCTTCCCCTCCACCTCTGGGGACCTGGTCATGTGTTGTCTGCATCTTCTGTTCAATGAAGCTTTGGGATTTGCACATGCGGCTTCTACTTACTGTTGATAGCATTTAAAAAATATATTGCTTCCTCCCCATTCCTCTTATGTTCCCTTCAGCTGCTCTGGCTGTGTCTCAACGTGGGACTGTTTTGGAAAACATTCCGGCGATATTATCATGAGCCTCAGTATTACTATTTGCATCAGATGTTGGGGGTAAGTAGTTCTCCCCCACCTCTTCTCCATCTCTCTTTTCTTGGGACTATGGGAACGGGAAAGCAGAAGCTGCTGGCTAATAGAGGTTTGATATGGCACTTCCTTGTGACCCAGGGAAAGGTGGAAGGTGGTGGACATTTGGTTGGGAAAGAGAGGGATTCGGTGGGAGTGGGAAGGGGGAAACAAAAGGACTATTTTCTGCATGTGAATGAAGGAAAGGATGTTGTCAAAGGTCTGGGAAAGCCGAAACTCCCTCCCCCTCCCCTTCCCCTTCCCCCATGCTGCCTCCAGCTGCAGGCGTGAATTCTCAGATCTGGCATATGAACTTGCGTGTTTCCTCATGGTAACATTCATCAGCCTCGTGGGTCTGTCCTGCCGCATGCTCGCATGGCCAGCTCTCCCGATGTAGCTTTTTCTCAAGGGAGGGTGCGTGGCTGTTTTGCTTCTTACTTGAAAATTCACATCCTCTCCATCTCGTTCTCATGAGTCCTGGTGTGGTTAGCTCAGGAAGTCCTGCCAGCCAAACAAAAGGAAAAAGCAAAAAGGGGAACTTCAGCAAAAATAACATATCTTGAGTGCTTAGTTTTGCAGGGGATGACTATAAGCTAGCTTTCCCCAACCTGGTGCCCTCCAAATGCTTTGGAATCCAGCACTCATCAGCCACCATCAGCCAGGAAAACTGGTTATTGTGGTCCAAAACATCTGGGGGAAATGAGGGTGGGGAATGCTGGTCTAACTCTTCAGGCAGTGTCTTATATTGGGTCATTACATCTTCCCTTTACTTGCCAGGTATTTAAGCTGAGGCTGCAAGAAAACGTTGCAGCATCGACTGCTCCTATCAGTGTGCCAACAAGCCAGCCATGCCTTTTTTCACAACATGACTTTTATACCACTCACCCACCCTAGTTTTCCACATGCACCCCACACCAGACACTGTTCCTATTACAGTGCTTACCTATGCATGGTTAGATAGAAATTGTCCTACAGAAGTTGTCCCAATATTGTGGTTATTCCCATTCTGCAGTTCAGGAACCAAGACTCAAAGACAGCTATATGTCTTAAGGCAAAAGCTTTCCTAACTCTGCCTTCTGTCTGTTTTGTAGGACAACTCATGCCTTGAAACACACATGCACTGTACATTTTCAGTATTTAAATTCTCGACCATTTTGAACCGGAGTCTAAAAACTAAGGGATGGGGCAGAGCATTCCTACAGCATCTAGATGGCCATAAGAGTACTCAGGCCTTCAGCTCTGAGGTTGGAAAATCGCTCCAACCTGGAAACAGAGGCTCAGCATTCAGATCCTCCTCCGGCACCCCTTGCAGCTGGTGTGGAAAGACCTGCCAAGTGGTGCCTCTTGGATCTTAAGAGCATCCTCATAAGAAGGCCTTTGGACACATTCTGGGTGGTGGGGAGGCAGGAGGTCAGGCCTCCATCCTCAGTTCCCTTCCCTCCCGGCTCTGGTGCATCACTGAGATAACAGAAATCAGCCACCTAACTTCTCAGAAAGTCAGGATGAGTGCAGTGTTGACCCTGCATGGGATGCTTTAATCATCTGACTTCAGAGGGCAATAGGCAGCTCAGCTGGAATGAACATCAGTGATTTAATTTTTTTTTTAGTGTATGTTTTCTTCCAGGAGAGGCACTTGTGAGATTTTCTGCCTCAGGCCATGCTTGGGTGCTCTACCAAGCACAAACAGTCTCTTGAAATTCTCTGCTTTGCCTGTGGGCAGAGATAATTTCACATTTCTCCTGGGCAAGAAGAAATCCTCCAAGTTTCTCACCATTTTCAGGGCTTCAGCAGAGCACCTCTCTTTCCTTCCTGGGGGATCCTGCTTCTCCGTGTTGCTGATGCAAGCGGAAATAGTATCAATTACGTTGGCAGTAAGGACATACGGATGGTGCAAAAGTTATTCAGCCCATGTTATGCAGATTTTTATCATCTCCACATTGATGGGATTGGAATTTGCACAAATGGTTCATATACCTTTGCACAAATTTGTACTTACTGAATTTCACACTCCTGAAAAGGTGCGAATTCCTCCAAACAGGCAAATTCCCAGAAAATGTTTTCACCCTTTAGCCTATGAGGGAAATGCACATTTTAGGTCAGTGTTTTTTAATTGTTTGTATTTTTCTATGATGAAATATGCATCATATTACAGAAAATGACCGAAAATGGTCTGCACATCCGTGCGATCCTTGTGACTTGGAAAACCGATTCTGTTTGTGGAATCTGGGGTTCAGATTCTTAGAAATTCAAACTATTGTAGAGTTCTCTGCCGTCCATACTTGGCAGCATTTTCCATCATCCACAATGCACATGTGAAAAGGGCAGTCTTGTTTGTAGCTGCAAGGGTGAGTTAGTGCTGTGCCAGTGTCTATCCTCTTTCTCTCCCGGTGGAAAACAGTTCCCATCTTTCCAACTCATTCTCAGGGCATCATATAATGGATCTGAAATGTTCTGGTGGTGTCTTTGAGCTTACCTAATGACTGGAAGGTGGCTGAGATGCCACGTGTATTTTGTCTTCTATTTACATCTCTCTCCATTGGGCTGCAGCCTTCTGGGATGCCTCCTCTTCCTGATCTGAAAGGTAAACTCAAAACCCCATGAGGAGATCTCCCCTGTTTATTTTTCTTTGAATTCAGTTTTGAAAGTCATTTCTTTTCTGTCCATCTGAATGAAAGCTGTCAAAATGTGGAGGATATTTTGGCACAGCACTAATGTTAAGTACGTTGACTGGGGCATGTGTGTGAGATGCCAAATGTTGTCACACTTCGGGCATCAGGATCCATTGTGCCGGCCTGTATTCTGTTGGATTATGCTGCACTCTGCTCTGGATTCTGCTGTGGGTTGATCTGTCAGTATACAAAAGAATCCATGAACTATAGAATCATAGAACTATAGAGCTGGAAGAGGCCCGTAAGTCTATCAGGTCCAACTCCCTGCTCTGTGCAGGACTTCACATAGAAGCAGCCTTAACCGACAGCTATCCAGCTGCATCTGGAAAGGCCTCCCTAGGGATGGGGAAAGTCTTTTTGCTGCTGAACCGTAGACCATAATAATCCTAGTTGAAGGCTGCTATTCTATACCTGAAGTTAAGTCCCATTGATCCCAATGGGATTTACTTCTGAGTAGACACAGACAGCATTGTATGGCAAATTAACCCAATATTTATTTATTTTGTCTTCTAAAAAGTCACTAATGTGGTGTGCCACAATTTACAAGATGAAAACCTTAATGCAGAAACAAACCAACCCATGTGAGAATATTAAAAATAGTAAAACCTTAAACGTGCACAATATAAAAACATCATTGAAAAAGAATATGTGACCCCATGCCCTTTCTAAAAGCCAACAGACTGGGCATCACTTGTAGTTTGTGAAGGGAGACACTGCACAGTTTGGGCATGAAGCGTGAGAAAGCTTCTTCATGCGTGCCTGACAGGCAGAGCTCTTAGTAACTGGACAGGTTTGGAAGGAGACAGACGGCCCCTTAGATAGTCCGGAATGGACTTCCTGCACCCTACAAGAAGGACCTTTGAGAAACGATGTCATCTACGGATATAGGACAGTGAATTAAAAGGGTCCCTTTCTTCACACGCTTACTTGTTACCACTTCAGAGAATGCTTCATATTGCTGGATAATTACACCCTCTTTATTTCTTGCTCGGAATATGTACCAGATGTTCCACTATTTGGTTTCCCTTGATAAAATAGATAATAATGAGGTCTCTGTACATCCTCTTCTCTGACATTAGTGCAACCTTTCTCTTCCCTGCACCCCCACCTCTGGGTAGGAAGAAACGGAAAAGCTTTGTTTCTCCAAGATTTGTGTTCTGGCAAGTCTGGCTTTCCAAACTGGCCCGAGTTGCAGCCCTGGCATTTTATAAATGAAAATAGGGACTTGCTTGCAAGGCACAAATTCTCCTATGCGGAATCTTTGCTGTCCTCCTTTGGAAATTTGCTCTTGTTAATTTGCAGCCCTACTGTTAAGCAAAGGGAGGCAGGTGCGAATGTTGTCTTTGTGTGTGTACACACAGGTGCAGGGAGCCAAGGTGTAGTGTTCAAGGATGCAGCTTTGTTGCCTGAAGTCACTCAATTGGTTCCATGGCTGAATGGGAACAAGAAGCAAGGTCACCTGAGTCCCAGCCCCACGTTCTTAACTCCTACACCAGAATGGCTCCAAAAAATGGAAGACAAAGCTCTTTTTTGTGTGCGTGTATCTTGGATTGCATCCTAGAGCCATTGAGGATTGCATTTTACTAGTTTAGACTAGTAATAGTTCAGCTGGAGCTAAGTAACCATTCAAGTGGCTGCAAGTTAGGCTTAAGTAAGGCCTATGACATAAAATCTTATTTATTTATTTTATTTATTAAAACATTTCTATAATTAGTCTTATAATGACTAAGGCTAAGATTTTATGTCGTAGCTATTTCATGTGGTGTCCTCATACAATTCCCCTGATACTGTTTTAATAGAACTCATCAATAGTTCAACTGTAGTTTACTTTGAACATTATAATCTTGGCATGGAATAGTCACATGACTTTCATGGTCCATGAGTACAAATGCATTTCGTTCATCATCATTACATGTTTCACAATCTGCTTCTGCCCATGAGGTTCTTTTGCACCGACTTGTCTCTATGAACCTTTCATATCATAATACATTCTGTGTAACATATATTTACTCAAATTTGAAGGTCATTCACAATTTTTCACCTTCAGTTTTGAAATATATGTGAAATGGAGCAATAGATATTTTGGTCCTTAGAGGAGACAATAGCTGTGAGACAATATTCTGGCCTCAGGGCTGGAATTGTTGCTCTACTCCCCTCTCCCATTTAAAACACAATTAAAAAAGCAATTCCTATCACAATGCTAATGATAATCATACAGAGCAGCATGGGCCAGAAAAATGGAACACCCTGATTAATTGTGAACCAAGGAAAGTTAGGTGAGCAAGTGGATTTTCAAGAGGCATTTGCAAGATGCCAAATCTTCTGCACAAGGAAGAAGGCCTGCCATCAAGGTACTGCAAAATGACATGGCTGGAATGACCAGCTTGGCCTGCTCTGTCTTGAAGGCCAGTTGGCTCTACAGGAGAGAAGGCGGTCTGTATTGGTCCATCTAGCCAAGTCTCTGGGCAGCTTGACAGTGATCTTCCAGTTCCTCCGCTGCCTGAGCTCCTTTTAATGGGAGATGTCAAAGACTGAATCTGGGACCTTCAGTGTGCAATGCATGATGGGCTGGTTCGTTGTTGCAGAACCATGATCTCTTCCCAGGCCAGAACCTGTGGACCTCGTTCTGTTTGGTTTGCATTCCAAGCCTTGCTGTTTGGATTCTAATCCTCGCTGTGTTTGTTCAGCTAGGGTTGTGCCTCAGCAGAGCTTCGGCATCTGTCCTCAACCTCAACTGCAGCCTGGCCCTGTTGCCCATGTGCCGGATTCTCTTGGCCTCCCTCCGCGGGTCTCAGAAGGTAAAAGAGGACAGTTCAAGTGTGGTTACTTCACCTGGAGTGAATGGGTGGCTGTAGATGGAGCTCTTGACGTGGCCTTAATTTGCAGTGCATTGTGGGTTGTGGGAGGTGGCCCATCTTACCACAAAGCCACTTTCCCAGATGTCAATGAATTAGCTGGTTGCAATCCTATCCCACCCCTGCCTGAAGGAGCAAATAATGAGGTCTCTCTGTTCACAGAAGAAAAATTGATGTGTGGGCTAAAATTAGAGACAAATACTTGATATTTTGGACTGCAGCTCCCATTATCCTTGGTCACTGGCTCTTCTGGCTGGGAGCTTTAGTCCAAAGCATTTGAAGAACACCAAATTGCCTGCTCTAGCACTGCCTTCTCCAACCTCATGTCTTCCTGATATTTTGGACCAACTCAGCCCCAGGTAACATTGCCAACGGGCAGGAATGATTAGAATAATAGTCCAGAACATTTGGTGGCCAGGAGGTTGAACAAAGCTGTCATAAAAACAATATACTTCTAAGGGAAATGGAAAGACTTTGTCTATCTTTATCCTCAACAATGGGCTGAAGAAGGATTTGAACCCCAAGACTGTGTACTGCCAAGTACACCAAGAGTTCCCCACACTTTTTGGACTAGTAGGCACGTTTAAAATGCCTAGCGTGTGTCAGGGCTGCTCTCACAGGTTGGTCCACCATTCCCCAGATGTCCGAAAAGGCAAATGGATGAGGCTAAAAGAAACTTGCCCAAGAACCCAAATGCACGACAAAAGTTCCTTCATTCTTTGCAGGAAAAAAAGATGCAATTTGGATGCATGGAGAAATTAATAAATAAGCAAATGGGGGCTGAGACTGAGAACAAAACTTTGCGTTTGAACTGCTCTTATTTGGGCAAAGAAATCGATTTCATAGAAGACAAACAATTGACGCCCTGAGATAGTTTGGTAAAGAAACTGAATACTAGGTAGAGATGAGCGCTGAGCTACAAATGCCAAATCACTCATTTGCCCCCATGAAGCTCAACAGAATATCCATTCTGCAGATGGCCTCTCTGCATCTCTAGGATGCTCTTCTCAGCTCCTCTTCCTCCATGTAATTCAGACTGAAGAGGTGGACTCAGAGAAGTTTGGTGACTCCTGCGTCCGTGAGGCTCCATTGCAGCTTTTCCTTTGAGTTTTACAGGAGCTGTTCATGGTGCTTTTACACGGTTAAACAATACAGCACCCACAATTCCACAGGGCAGTTCTATTGATACTGGAGACTGGGCTTCATGCACTCCTTGTGTAGAATATGAGCAGTAGCTACATAGTAAATGTTGCTCTGTAGCCGGCCGATGGGATGTGATACAGAAAATCGGTGAAATGTTATGCCGGGAAAGGTTATTTCACACCAATGTATGCCTCTACCATTGAATATTTTATTCATTTATCTCAGGGGCTCTGAATGCTTGCAGCCTGGGGGCTGGATTCCTGTTTCGGAGAAGATCTTGGGGACTCTATTCCAATGGTGAATTGGGCAGAAGGAAAGTGGGACAGGCCCCCAAATCCCCCCCCCCGCCCCGTTTCTGATCACTGCTAGGAACCAATCCTTAAGACAGGCATTTCGGAGTTTTAGAACTGTTAGGAGACTGCTCAAAAGCCAGGAAGCCACCAATTGCTAAATCCCTGGGGAGGATTGGGGGTTGAAGGAAGGGGCATGGCTTTCTGGGGATCCATGGAGGGCTCCATTCAGCCCCCAAACCTGAGCTGTCACACCCTTGTTTCATTCCTACCCACCCATCACTGCTTGCTTTCTGAAATCAGTTTGCATTTCATATCATTGGCCCTCATTGCCAGCTTAAGCATCCCAAGTAGAGACGGGCAATTGCCCTCGCGTTTTGCTTTAGCTTTAGAACAGAAGTAAGTGTAGCTATTTCCCCAGAACATCTGGGCAACATCTGAGCCACAGCAAATTCACCCCTCTCTTCTACCCACCTAGCCTCAGATCCTCAACCCATCCCCCTTTGAACTCATTTTATTGGCTTGACCAGCAGTTGTGCACCGCACTGGGATGAAAGGCCCCAGGGGCCCATGGGAAATGCTGTTTGCCAAAGCACTGCAGAAATGGTTGGGAATTCTTTTCTCACTCGTATTTTTACAAGTCTCAAGCCTCCCCCCCCCCCCGACCCCAAGCCTTACTTTTGAAACCCCTGGCATGATTCCATAGTGTGTATGTGTTTGTGTGTGTGTGTTTGCATGAGAAAACTGTTGCACAGATGGCTATTCTTGTACAGTGCATAGAAACACTCTAGAAGAAGCTCGGCGTAAAGGATTCTGTACGTACAGAAGACGTGCATATCATAGGTGTTTCTGAGATGGTGCCATTCCAGATGGAAAGCAGAGGTTTGAATGAGGTTTCCCCATGTCAGCCCCTTCCCATCCTGGGTGTAGAAATAAATATAGCATGTTAGTGGACAGGCTAGAATTCTTTCCCACTGACATGCTGACCTGTTATGGACCAGGAACGTGTGACACAGGTGTAACATTTAGGTACATAGCAGCCCACCCCTCACCTATAGCAATACAGACTTCTGTCCCCTGCTCTGTTTGGCACCGTCACTCTGTTGCCCTTTGATATACTGCTGCATTCCTTCTCGATGGATTTGTGTTCTTTTTTCCCCAGGTGCCCAGCCGAAAAACGAGGAGATTGCTAGATAAAAGCAAAATGTTCCATGTCACATGTGGTGCCACCATATGCATCTTTTCAGGTGTGTTCCTTGGGGGCCAGAAATGTTGGCCTTCTCCGTGAAGTACTCCAACTTTTCAAGTGCTCTGTGCTCTTTCTTCTGCAGTACATGAGGGGGTAGTCTTGTTCTGTGTTTCTTCCTTAAAAAGCTTTGAGTGCTTTCTTAGATGTTTTTCGAGCTTAGGAGAGAGCGGGTCTACATTTCGATGCATGAAAGCCCACGGTCTGAAGAGCTTTCTTTTATTTTGCATCTAAAACCCTGCTGAAAATTTGCTGGCATAGAAGCGATGCTGGATCAAGCTCCGCCAATTTAAACAAAGCTGGACCAAGGCTGCTGCAGCAAGGTCTGTGCAGTATAGCAATTGTCCTGTCGGGCTGATCTCCGCCAGATGTTGTGGGCACCTTTGCCAAGGACTCTCATGTCCATTTTACCCCTCTGCCTCTATTTAGGTTTCGGCAAGGTTTCGGCAAGGGGCGGCATAGAAATGCTATAATAATAATAATAATAATAATAATAATAATAATAATAATAATAATTTAAAAGCGCAACACTCTACTTAATTAAATCTGCATAAGCTCCTTGCCTACTTTTCTTTAATGAGCACGTCTGCCCAAGGAATTCACTTTTGTGTAACTTCTTTGGCTGTTCGCCAGAGGTGATGCTGTACTAGCCATAGGCGATCAGACAATGGATTCCATGCTTGCCTGCCTGACAGAATTGGGGCAGCTCCACATTTTAGTGGGCCTCTGGTGGGCCTGCCCAAAATGGGCAGCTAGCGAGGCCAGCTCTGTTCTCCCTTCCTCTTCTTCAATGTATTTCTGCCAGATGCAAGGAGAGGGTTGCTAGGCGAGGTTCACTGGAGGATGGACTAAATGAAGGCAGTGGTGGAGGTTGTGACAGTATTTATTTTTTTATTCGTTCACGTATTTATACGCTGCCAAAAAGACCTCCCTAGCGGCTCATACAATAAACAACACATTACATTAAAACAGTTAAAAGAAAATCATAAAACATGAAAATAGTGCAATTACAATATAACCAAAATATGAAAGATGGAAGATTGATAGTTTTGGGAGATCGGATGTATAGGTTGCATTAGTTTAAAATTCCCTTGGCAACTTTGCTTATTTTGCTTATTTCAGTTTGCTGTGTTTATTTCAGTTCATTCTGTTTTATATTCTTTTAATGCATTTGTATACATTAAGAAACTTTAAAACTTTAAACTTTAAAAAATAGGACCAAAATAAAAGGCCCATCAGCACTCACAGAATGGCTTAGATACTTAAAAAAAAAAAGTTAAAAGGTATGTCTTCGCCTGGCACCGAAAGCGAAAGAAAGCAAAGACAGTGCCAGGTGAATTTCCCCAGGGAAGGAGTTCCAAAGATGTGGGGCAGCAGTGGAAAATATGTCCTTTGCCTATTTTCCACCCGTCTTATTTCCCTGAGGGACGGCTCCCAAAGAAGGGCCTTCTGAGCTGTTCTGGAGGGGCAGGTAGGTGTATACATGATAGGCATTGCTGATGCTCCTCTGTTGAATGTTGGCCAGCTCCCCAGTGTTGCCCACAGTGCCCTGAAGCCAAGTGGCATTGCTCTGGGGTGTTAAGACCAGCATAAAGGCAACTGCCCTGCACTCATAGATGTCAGGACAGGGCCCTGGAATGTCTTGTCACCTGCAATTCTTGGCCCTTGGCAGCTCCAGGCCTAAAGAGTTTGCTGATTACGGAATTTTTTTCCAGCTGGGGAAAAAATTAAAAGAAACCAGTTTTATAATTACCATTCAAATGATTAATTTTCCCCCCAGCTGGAAAAAAATTCAGCAAACTGGCAAACTCATCATGGAGTGGACCAGAATGAATGTGGAACATCACAGATTCTTGTTTCTAGTTAAAAATTCTTGAAGACCACCTCTGCTATCTGTCCTTTGTGCTGCTTTCTGCTATTATGGAAGCTCCATTTCAAATTGGTAGATTTGATTCCTTTCAATTTTTGGTCTTACTCAGGTCCATGGGGTTCTCTTGCCTGGCAGATGATAAATTCATTTGGCATAGATAGGAAGATAAAGTCTTTAGAAGAATCTAAGAAGCGCTGGATTAGATCAGACCTGATTGGATCAGAGTTTACCTAGTCTAGCGTTCTGTACAGAGCAGTGGCTCCTCTTTCCTGTCCAGAAATGGCTGCATTGCACTGGTTCCCTCCATTCCTGTCCATTTTCACCATAATGCCCACCATATCTAGGTTCATCATTGAAATGAGGTACTCCAACTCTCCCATCTTGGTTTCAAGCCTTCTAGCATTGGCAGGGACATGTCTACAGATGGTCTCCCTCTCTTGGTGATCTGGTACACTGATCTTCGGCTATAGTTCTCAGGCTTCTTTGATGAGCTGTCATGTTTCACTATATGCCTCTTTCCTCCCCTTCTGCATACCCTCCACCATGGGTATGCATGCAGCATCTCAAGTGCTGTCCTTAAGCAATGTGGGCAGCATCCAGCTCTGCTGCTCTGCGTACGACACCAGTGCAGTGTTGCCATAAATGACCTCTGGCACAATGCCAATGGGATATGCCTCCATGATGAGTTTCCCCATGATGGCTGTAAAATGCTGTTCGTATGCAACAGAGATGCTGGGATCTGAAGTGATGACAGTGATGGTGAAGACCAGCATGGGTCACCCTGGAAGCTCCTGCCAGGCCAGGATCAGACCTGCAGGTCCTTACAAGGATGGGGGCCTGCACCATCATAACACACAGCCGGGAGCTCTGGCAGGCTCTGCAAAAGGATTCTCTGCCCTGCTGCTTTGTGGCCCTGATTGGGCTTCGGCTGCAGTCACACAGTGTCTTCATCTGTGCCGTGATTCCTGCCTGTTCCTTCTTCCACCACGCGGCTGGTCCTGCCATACCTTTGCCTGCTCCTGGCCTGGTCTTTGTCTTTGGTCCTACTGCATCATGCCAAGATCTCCATCCACCGCCATCCTCTCTGGTCCTGGTGCTCCCGTCGTACATCCCTGCTGCTTACATCCTGGAGCTGGCCAGAGCTTGCAGATGCCAGGGTTCCAACAGTGGTGCAGGTGCATTGCTATCCATTGAGGAAAGGCTTTAGTGTACTTGGCAAAGTGGTCCCCGAAAGTGTATGCCAGAAGGTTTCTTTCATTTCAGGTATCTCTAGTAAAGAATAATCAAGTCAAGAGGGTGATACCACTGTCTGTGGTTGGTGCCTCCAGAAATGGAGAGAGGGGGATTAATTTTCCACCCATGTGCAGATCCTATGGAAATTAGCCTGCCTCATACCCCAAACTGTGAAAGTTCCCATGGTCCCTTCTTCCTTAATTTTTATCTGTCCCTACAAACCACATTGGGTTCCATTCCAGTGCAGCTTTTAAAAGCAAAGTTGATTCCATGCAATTGAAATGTGCTTATCCCAGTATTCTCAGTTGGAAAAGCATCCCTTCTATTTCCAACATTGCGGCCATGAGCATCTTCCTTTATGCAGCCAAGGCATCACTGCACACAGACAAGAGATAACAGTTGCTGGAGTGAGGGAACTGTAAGGTTTGCAGAAGAGCAGTAAAAAGTTATGTGGAATAAAAATCACATACGTGTGTGCACATGTGTGTGTGGGCTGAATACTCCAAGGAGCATAACGAGAACTGGGACAACAGATTGGACAGTATTTCAAGACACAACAAGCCATGGAGGTTTCTTGCACAGGGTGATCTGTTGCATCATCTGAACCCTGTTGTGGTATTTCAGCCTGGTATGTTTGGCTTTTAGAAGCCACAAGAAGGAACCAGTGTGGGGAGAATATGGAAAGCAGGATGGGGAGACGAAATGGAGTGAAGGGGCTGGAATCTCTGTACACGACAACGTTTTCTTGTTGGTCCAGTTTGTGTACAAATGGGAAAGCCCAGGGACCCGCGCTCTGGGGGCAAAGTTTTCAGAATGCCTTCTGGCAGACTGAGCTCTCCTCTCTGTTTTAGTGATCCATGTTGCTGCCCACCTGGTGAATGCTTTGAACTTCTCTGTGCACTACAACGAAGAGTTTCGGGAGCTCAATGTAGCCAGCTACCAAGGGGAGGTGAGTGGGGTGCATTTTGTCAGTTTTCCATAAAATTGCTGCCTCTCACTTTGTCCTTGGGTGACCTTTTTTCAGGGATGCACTTGGGAGCCTGGGGGGCTTGTCTTTGTGGGGAAACAGAGCAGGCTTGGGTAGTGCAATGAATAAATCAGTCATCCTACCCAAGGCTCTGTATGCTCAAATGTACTGCCCAGATTGCCTCTGCAGATGGGCAGGTTTTGCCTGCAAATGTTGATGCTTCTTCCACAGCTTGCAGCACTTCTGTTATTTCAGTATGTGTTGGTTATGCAGAGTGTCACTTTCTCACTGGGGAGTCCTTCTCACTGGGGATACCTGAGTGCATCCAGGTGAGGCCTTTAGCTTGCATTCTCCTTGACTCAACCTGGTCTTTTGCAAAGGTTCTAGACAAAGTCTTCCATTTTAACCCTCTTCTGTTTTCCATCTACTTCCTCCATCTTTTTTCCTTGTCAGAAAGGGGAAACAATCCTGTCCGAATGTTAAAATTGATTTGGTGTTCATTCCTGCCCTTTTTCCTGCAAGAAACCCAGCGTGGCTTACATGGTCCTCTTTCCCTCTGTTTTGTCTTCACAACAACCCTGTGAGGTAGGTTACACTGAGATGAGTGACTAGACCAAAGTCACCCAGTGAACTTCCTGGCCAGACTGGGGACCAGAACCTGGATCTCCTGAATCCCAGACATGACTCTAACTAGACTGGCTCTCAGTATCACACTGGATTGGAAGTGCCATGACTCCCCTCTTTGCAAATCCCTCCCAGACACCCTCAGTAGGTTGCCACCTGGGGGTGGGCACCACATCTGCCTCCCCCTGCCTCAAGGGGGTATCCTGGGCCTACTTGCAGGGTAAAATCACAGCAGTGAGCGATGTGAGTGTTTGCAGGTCCTCTGCCAGTATTTGGTGCTCATGCATTGATATTTGGGATATTTGAGGAATTCAGCTTTTGCAAACTTTTGGATATGATGACCTGGTCTAAATTCTGACCCACAGGATTTTGCTCTTCTCCAAAAATCATGACCTTCTCATCTATTCAAAGCTAGAGTGGGCTACCATGGGAGGTTCAGGGTTTAGTTTAGTCTAGGGACACTGTGTTTATTATAGCCACAAATATAGCTTGTAAACAATCCCAAGGACAATCCTGTTATGAGGACTGTAAGCCTCTGAACTCATCTTACGCAGAGCAGGAAGAACAGTGGAAGTGCCCCTCAGCTCCATGTCATCAGAGCAAGCATTGCTAAACAAGCTTCCTTGTCTATCTAGAAAGAGAAGGAGCCTGGGAAGGCCTCACGTTGCAGCCTTTCCAGTTTACTTGCTTCCCTACCCACCAGAATGCCCCATTTCTGTGATGGGTTTCCCAACAGATTCCTGTCTCTGTGGTTGCAGTGCTACCTCTGGCCTCAGTATGGGAGTCTGAAAGCTCCCATGGCCCTTTAGACTCTGTCTAGGGGCCATAGGATTGTTCCTTTAGGATGCATCCTGATGCATTTTAGAGAGACTAAAGGATTGCAAATCCAAGCATGCCCCAGCCAACCATGAGACTTCTGGAACTTGCAGGCCTTTTCTTTGTCTAAACATACATATATTTGTACCTGTAAAGTTTTAATTCTGGACTGAGGTGGAAGGGACACGTAGAGCCCAAGGGCTTCACGTTGGTCACACCTGGCTTAAAATGATTGCTGTACACATTTGTATGCATCTTTTGAGAGAAGGTGCACATTTTGACACGGTCTTGAAGTACAGGAGTGGCAGCAACAATGCCATCACCAAGGTGATGCAAAAACAGAACATAATTGTGGTGAAAAAAACCTGTGACACAGAACAGAAACAGGCAGATTTGCCAATCCCTAGTCTTGACTTGTGTTTACAAGGCTGTCAAGAAGAGGAGAGCACTCACACATGGGGTCGCCATAAGTCGGAGGATGACTTGACAGCAAGTTACAACAAACCGTCCCTACTTGTAAATAATTACTGCAAAACGAATAAACAGATGGAAAACAAATAAACAGATAATTAAGCAATAACTCCTCAAACATGGGAGGAACAAGTGGAAACCAAGCAGATGATAAATACCCAACAAGTCTGTGTCTGCCTCTTCCTTGTCCTCTCATTCTCAGTCATACCCCTGTCTTCTCTAATGGACTCTCTGAACAGTCCAAGGTTGCTTGTGTCCATCATGTGTCACTCTGAAAGGGTTGGGACATGATGTGCTGCTTGAGGCAGATGATGTAATGCCATGCTCAACACTTCTTCAGGAGCCCTGCTCTGGCGAAGAATACAGATGAGGTGATCCCTGGTGAGGTTTCTGAATAATTCATACTACTTCTGCTTGCTTTCTAGGATCCCAGAAAACTCCTGTTTGCCACAGGTAAGCCAGCAAAGGGTTCGGTTGGGTTGTGCTGAATCAATGTGATTTCCAGGCTCTGCTTCAAAAAACCGGAAATGGACTATTATCAATAACAATTCCAGTGACAGCTGCATTCTTCCCCAGAACAAAGGATATTGCTGTATGCCAAAACTGGCAGTGACAACTTTTTTCCTTCTTGGTTTGTTTTTATTTCTCTCTCCTCATTGGCTTTCCCAGATTTAAGTGGGGGAATGTTCTTACTTTTGTTCCTTTTCAGAACTGTAACCTATGGGAGAAACTGAAGAAAGATGTGGCCATGCTAGATCATGAGCTAAAGAGCCCCCCAGAATCCAGAGGATAAAAATATCTGAAAATGCACATCCAAGCAGTACCTTTATTAGAACCAGCCACATCAGCACAAAAGAATGTGCACATGTCTGAGCCTTGTAGGACTCTTCATTGGGCTAGGTGGGAGACCAAGCATGCATTACCTCCTTTACCAGGGGTGGCATGCCTGGATGCATCTGTTGCTGAGCGTCCATGACTCTTGCACCCATCCTGCTTGAGAGTTCCTGTGTACAGCTGACTTGCCACTGTGTGATCAGAATGCTGGAATAGATATACCATTGGTTTGATCCAGCATGACTTTTCTTCTGTTCTTACATTCCTATGTTTCCATCAGCAAAATGAAACAAAGGCCTGTCCCCACTTGCAAGATCTCTCCTGCAGATCATTGCCTGGGCATGCGTCCCACTTGGCTGAATGTAGCTTAGGGGGCACAGGATTGCACTCTTAGTTTAATAACATTTGGCTAGAACATCTAAATGGGATAAAATCTAAATAATGTGCATCAATATTGTTAATACAATAATTAATTTGACTGGAGTGAAATCCTTTTGAAGTGAAGAATGGAAATGAGTGGATCTGCATGGAGAAGACTGCAAAACCAGAACTATTCTTCTCTGTTCTGTCCATGCTCTGGATGCCAGCATTCTCGCTGCCTTGATAAGCTCTTTTCTACTTTCAGAAAATTTAAGAGGGCTAACTAAGCATTGCTTCCATGACACATGGCTACTGTCCATGGATATTCCTGTGGTTCTGAGAGAACTTTTCTCACATCCACAATCACAGGCACTGTATCTACACAAGTCCTCACTGGCTTAGCATTCTGTTTCCACAGTGGCCAGGCAGAAATGCATGGGAAGCCCATGAGCTCCACCTTTCAGCATGTTTCCCTCCACAGTCCGTGTTCAGAGGCATAGAATACTGTCACAGATAGCGAAGAGAGTCTATAGTCATTCCAGTGAGTGAACCTTGATCCTCTTTAAGTTCCTTTAATGCTTCCAAAGTTGGTGGTCATCACCATGACACATCACAGTGAGTTCTTTGCTGCATGAGGAAAGATTCCCTTTTATCCATCCTGATTTCCTAGCATTTGACTTCATGGAATGCTGTCAAGTTCTAGCATTATGAAAGAAGGAGAAGTTTGCATTTTTTCCACGCATAGCAGACTGTGATAAACCTCTATCATAGTTCTGCTAAAACGCCACAGTGTTGTAACTTTTCCTTATAATTGCTCCAGCCACTTGATCATTTTGGCCAACTTTTTCTGTCCCTTCTTGAGTTCTGCAATACCCTTTTTGGAATGCAGTGACCAAAAGTATATAAGTGTGATTGCACTCTATATGGTTATAAAAGCATTATGATACTGGCAGTTTTATTGCTTTTTGGATTCATTTCCTAATTATCCCTAGCACATAACTGAGCTCCTTGAAGAAAAGACAGAATGCAAGTATAGTACTTGAGTTAATATTCTCTTAACGTCTCCATGCGATGAATCCACTCCATAGGCATTTTGTGATTTTCCCAAGGCAAAGATCCTTCATGCTGAAAGCTGGGAGTTAAACTGTGTTCAGCCAGATGTTGAAAATTCACTAGTCACGTGCTGTTGCTTTGGTTTCCCTTCTCTGATTTTTTCTCCATTTCTTGGGCTGCCGACTTTGATAGCAAAATGCCAATCATTGTTCCAAGCCCCCATTGGATCACCCTTGGATATGGATTCCAGTCCTTCCTTGTAGATTTCAGTGGCTTGACAGCAAATTTTGAGCCATGTTGCTATGTAATGCAGGTAAATCGCATTTGGAATGTTTGAATTTCATTTCCCCTGAACAGAGTGTTTAGTTACATTTTTCCAGAAATGTTTTTTTCTCCCTAACAATTTCTTTTTGTGAATTCCCAAGGTAGTGATTCTAAGCAAAATGTTTTCATGATTCATTGCTTGAAAGCTGCATTGGTTAAACATGTGATTATGATGAGCTTGCAAATTCTGTGTTTGTGCCTTTGCCACAAACTCACTAGATAGCTTTGGGGAAATCACATTCTTTGAGATGCAACCTTCCCTCTTCCCATTTTCAGGATGGGCATAACACACACAATGTTACGTGGAAATGCTTCTAAATTATTTATTTTTTAACTCAATACACTGCTTTGGAATGGGGCAATTGAGAGCAGAAGGGAGAGAAGGTGGACATGGATTCCACACACAGTTTTCAAGTGCATTTGTAATAAAGATAAAGGAAATGGCTGGAGGGGAGGAAGAGACACTCTCTGCCCTGCCACTTCTCAGTCAACCTCTTCCAAACAAGCTTTAAAAACTAAAAATATGGCTGTCTAGCAACAGTATCTGGGTGATCTTCCATGCAAACTATGCCCAAACTCAGATTGCTTTGCTGTAGCAAAGATGTGGTGACTATTCCCTGCATCTTAATTACTTGCCTGCCAAGCCAAATGCAGCTTCTCAGCCATGCAGGGTAGTCCACCATGTCATTTTTTGTTGCCTGCCATGGACTTCAAAAACAGAGAAGATTGCTGGGCACATGGCAGGACCCAAAACGGTGGCTGTTTTTCTTGGTGACTTAGCAGTAGTTCAAGTATGAATTAGATGTATGTGTCAGGAAGCATCAACAATCTGGAGGCTTTTTGATCAGGCTCTTCTGCAGCTCTCAGGTGCTGATTTCATAAGTAGGGTGGGAAGAAAATGGATCTCCAGATGTTTTGGACTTCAGAGCCCCACATTCCTGACTACTGGCCATGCTGACATCTGGAGAGCTATCTCCTGTCCCCTGTTGACATAAAGGGATTAGTATACCAGAAAGGAAAAATGCATGGAGTCATTTCAGAGCTAAAATAAAGTTAGCTTGGATGTCTGGAAGCATCTGTGGGAGGCATGTTGACTTGTTTAATCATTTATTTGAAGGCTGTCAATGACTCAAAATAGCTTGTGATGGACCTTGTTTAACATTCTTCAAGTTGAACACTCTTAAGACCCATTGATTTCAATGGCTCTGATCTACAATAGTTATTTACCTTAAACCCCAATTAAATCAATCATGTCGGTTGACCACAGTATTCCTAATGATCCGATGGGACTTCAGAGCAGCCAGTTTTCCCTGGAATAGGACCTCCCTGCCTCGCTCATATTCCTACCGATGGGAGCATGATAACAACTGGGTTCCATCCGTTTGTTTGGATCAATTGAAACTGATGGGACTTCAATCATGACTAAATTGCCTCTTTAATTGCAGTGGGTCCACTTTATAGCTAATTCTAGATCCTGCCCATTCTGTGGGGATGGGGATGGGGACGACGATATGGGGAATGGTGGTTTAGTAGCACGAAGACAGGCATACTTTCTTGTCACACAATTTACACTCCGTGTGCTCATTTCTGTTTCAGTTCCTGGATTAACTGGGGTTCTTATGGTCCTGGTGCTCTTCCTAATGTCTACAGCTTCTACTTATGCTATTAGGTAAGATTTAACCTGCCCGTTGTGCCCAATGAATCAGAGAGTTGGCTCAGACATCCACAAGCTTCTTAATGCTGTGCGTCCTGGAGGTTTCTGAGAACACAATTACAATTTCCTTCTAGTTTATGGAACTACCCGTTTCTGCCTATTTTGTAGTAAAATCTGGAGTGCCATGTCTATTTCTGGGTGATACACTTTAAGAAGGATGCAAACAAATCACAAGGGGAGGACAAAGATAGTTAGCAGCATGAAAAGCCCATTCTATGATAAAAGATGGAAAGAATTTGACGAGTTTTACTCAGCAGAAGTAGACTCGGGGAGTACTGATAGCACTGCTCAGATAGGACATTCCAATTTTATTCTTTTCTGCTGCCTCAGAGGGCAAGGCTAGATGTAATGGATTTCAATTGCAGGAATGTATAGTTTGGTTAAACTTTAAAAGAAACTGCTTCATAACTAGAACCATAGAACCACTTATTTAAAGTCTTCCTTACTGGAGGTCTTTAAGTTGAGACTAGGCAGCCAAAAGTTGGACATATTCTAGCTTTGGATTTCCTGTTCTAGATTTGGACAGCTGATGGGCAAAATGACATGCAAGGTGCCTTCCAACTTGATACTATGCAGAAAAAGCATTTGATCAAAATGTGTGTCCCAGGAGTACTTGGGCTGCCTAAGCACTCTCCAAGCAAGTAATATCTTTCTATGGGCAGAGTTAACATATTCCTTGCCCCCAAAGCAGGTAAATATGGGCTATTTTGAAAAAGCAAGAGAGAAAGAGACAGATAGACAGACAGAGAGGTGAATGGTGGGATAATGGTATATTTGGTTGTTACTTGTTTATCAAAATTTGTGTTCAACCCAATAGACAAATGTCAATTGCTCCAGAACAATAACAGCCAATATAAAATACAGCAAATGAAAATACTAATATCCATGCCTTTTGAAGTATTGCATTGTTTGAAAAGGAATTAAGGTATGCAGCAAAAAGCAGGATCTCCTCCCCCTCCCCTCCCCCTTCTTCTGCTTCCTCTGCTTCTTCTGCTTCTTTGTCTTCTTTTTTAGTATGTCTTAGCTGCCTTTCAAGATCACCATCTTCCGAAGCTGACTTAACATATGAAACAGTGAAATTCAGTGTCAAAGAATTATACAGCCTCCTTAAATGGAATCCATTTTAAAACAGCCTGCTAACATACAGTGCTGTACAGAAGTATACAACCCAGTTCACATGTATAGCAGCATAGCTGGTTTAGAATTGCTGCAGTATGTGGTTTTCATATAACTTTATTGCTGATTTTTTAAACATTTTCCAGACTGATTCTGGAAGTCATCCTCATAGTGGAGTTTAGTCTTTGGGTCATTCTCTCTCTCTCTGATCTCTCCCAAATTTTGGGGGAATACCTTTTGGTCTCTGGACTGAGGAGAGCCATTCCATAATGAGTAGAGCAAGACTGTATGTGTCTCCCCATTGTGTGCGAATGGTGTAAGTGAGCAAGACGTGTCACACATGGTCCTGTGTGTGTGAAGACCCAGTCCGGTAGTCCAACTTGAAACCCCACAGATGTGTTGGGCTACAGCTCTCATTCCCCCAGTCCAGCACACCAGGCAAATGGTTCTGGGGGCTGATGGGAGGCATCGTCTGTCACACCTGGAGAACACCTGGCTGAAGAATACTACCGTGGAGATGGTGTGGTGTAGTGGTTAATGCTGGACTAGGCGTGGGGAGATCCAGAACCTAACCCTCACATAGTCTTGAATCTCTCTGGGTGATCTGGAGCCAGGCATGGACTCCCAGCCTAACATACCTGATGAGGTTGTTGTGAAGTTTAAATGGAGAAAAGAAAGTGTTGAGTGCAAAGCCTCACCACCTCCGGGGGTCCGCATGGAGCTCCAAGCTGGCCTGCCCCTCAAGGGGGTCTGCAGGGAAGCCTGCGCCCTCGTCTCTGTGCCAGACGACAGTGGTGCTCTCACGGCATTTCAGCAGTCGCAGGTCATGGCAGTGGTAATTCAACATCTGCAGACATCCTCCAGGTGCTAAACTCAAGGGAGGCTCAGAAGAGGGCAGGCAGAAGGAAGGTCTTCTCCTTGGTGGCCCCCTGACTATGGAATCATCCCTTCACTGAGGCCCACCTGACACTAGCGCTGCCATCTTTTCAGTGCCAGGTTAAGACTGCCCTCTTCTCTCAAGTATTTAATGGCATTGAGCGGGTGCAGTGTTGTACTACCCGTTGGCTGTTAATTTGCTTGAGATGTTGTATATTGGGGGACACCCCCCCCTTTTCTTGTATTGAGGTTCATGTTTTTATAAATGGCAGTACACTGCCCAGAGAGGCTCAGGCGTTGGGTGGCATAGAAATAAATAAATAATTCAAAATAATCCCATAAATCAGTCCATACATCTAAATAAATCTATCCATACATAAGAAAGTTAAAAATCCAGCTTTCTTTGGTGGAGGAGAAATTCTCCAACAGTTTCTCAACTGTGGGATGTGCTGCTAGCAGTCTCAGTAGCATTGCCTCTTTGCGAATGATTTCCCTTTGGCCACCTTTGCAAGCCGCAACAGCAGCGCTGGCCGCCAGGCCGCCATTTTGGATCCTTCAGGATGGAATTGGCAGCTGTCATCAAAACACTGAAACTTTGCAGAAATTTTTCTGGAATGGAGTGAATAAAATTTTTAAAAAGCATAACTTTTCTCAGGAAAGAAATGTTTTCTGAGAATTCTCAGCTCAACTCTACTATAAACAATGATCCGATGAATAAGTGAGCTTGTCTTTCTGTCTTTTTTATGTCCTTTCTTTCGTTTCATTCTGTGGATGGCCCAGATTGTGCTTGCTTTTTGCGCCATCTCATATGGGAAGAGCCAAACCATTTAATTCCTTAGATCTGTGTTAAATATAATGAAAAACAATAAACAATAGAATGAATTCTTCTCTCATTAGGCAGTTATTCAAAATATGGCTTATTTAGCAGCAGTCACTTAAATTTTCTCCCCTGATTGTCTGGTATTTAATTGCACTTTCTTCTTTGCAGGGTGTCTAATTATGACATTTTCTGGTACACCCACAACCTCTTTTTCGTCTTCTACCTACTGCTGATGTTGCATGTTTCTGGGTAAGTCATGGCCGCTCGTAATTAAGCACAATCATTCAAGCAGGACAGACGAACAGCACTTGAGTTTGCATTTTAATACCAACTTATATTGTTTTGCACTTTTGAACCAAATGGACTGAAACCCAGTCATCCTTTGAAGTGCGCACTTTTAATTTTTAAAAATAAGTGCGTGTTATGGAAATATGCATTTAAAATGAGTACTAAAAGAAACATTTTTAAAAGCAGCATATGAAGGAAATTGAGGGGAAAGCGTTGTTTCAGGAAAACTAGATATAAAATGCATGTTTATTTATTTAACACTTTTGTATACTGTCACAATAGTCACATGGCTTGTGTTTGCTTGTAATGTGTACAGATTTTCATGAGAACTTTTTAAAAAGTCAAAGTTCATGATGAGCTACACCTAAGATTCAAAGCAGTCTCAAATTTTGACACTAGACTGGAAAAATGAGAAAAGGAGAAAACCCAGAACTGACAGCTTCATCCATAATGGGGCAAACGGCTTTATGGTCATGAGATAAGATAGGAAGATCAGTTTTAATGAGCCTCTGTGCTTGGATTTTGGACAAGGCCATCAGTTCTATGCCCATCAGTTATCTTGCCTAGTTGCATGCAAAAAGACAGCAGTTGGAAATTTCTTGCCTAGCCTCTGCAGCTAAGGGGAACTTTATTAAACTTGCATTGAAAGCAAGTGGTAGTCATGCCAATGGGAACTGAAGGGAAATATCGAAATCTATGATTCAACTTCAGAGCACCATGACTCTTACACTTCATCCACTTAGAATGCATGGAATTTCCAATCCAGCCAAACTCTGACTTACTGATCAGATCAATTATATATCTCACACTTCCAAACTTTGTGGTGTAGCACACATCTGCCAGATGGTCTGTTGCCTTTAATGGAAAGGACATCCCTAACCATAAAGCATTCTCAACCACCCACCAAGTTTATAGCATGCCTTCTAGGCAACAATTTGCTGATTGTGTCTACTGAACAATTTTTATTAGTTGCATGGTGAGCAGTTGTTCCCTTGCCACTGGCGTGTGAGCTTTGACTTTTGCTTATTACAGTGTTAAGAGGTAAAAATGTATAGCTGTGGCTGTGATGGGCAGACAAACAACTTTGGAGGTTGCGGAGCATCTCTGAACACCATCTCACCACTGGTTTCATATCTGATTCCCATTTGCAGTCACGGCTTGCTTTGTGCAATGGGACATTCATGCGTATCAAGCAGTGATCAAATGGGAGAGTTAGAAACATAGGAAAAAAATGAGTTAGAAGAGGCCTCCGAGGCCATCTAGTCTGACCCCTGGCTCTAGCAGGCTCCGCTTGTGTAATCCCCAACATGTGGCTGGCCAATCTTTCCTTGAACACCCTCACTGATGGGGCCTCAGCCACCTCCCTTGGAAGCCCATTCCATATCCTAGGGGTCCTAACTATCAGGAAGTACTTCCTGACAGCCAACCTGAAGCCTGGTTCCTTGAGCTTTGCCCCATTGGAACGCATCCTGCCCTCCACTGCAGGGTAGAACAGGCCATGGCCCTCCTCCACATGACATCCCCTCACATTCCTATAAGTTGTTAAAAGATCCCCTTGGAGTGCCCTCTTCTCCAGGCTGAAAAGATCCAGTTCCCTCAATCTCTCCTCAAATGTCATACCTCCCAACCCACCTACCATTCTTGTGACCCTGCACTGAACTGATTGTAAGCTGGCCATGTGTCTCCTATAATGTGGAATCCAGAACTCCAGTTGTGGATGCATTAGAATCATGTAGAGCAGTATCAACACCTCCCTAGATCTGGAAGCCACACTTCTGGCTATACATCCAAAGGTGGTGTATGCCTTCTTAACCACCACGTCACACTGCTGGCTCCTGTTCAGCTTGCTGTTGACAAGTACCCTGAGACCCCTTTCACAAGTGCTGCTCTCCAGCCACTTGTCCCCCATCCTGTACCTGTGACACCTATTCCTGTGTCCTACGTGTGAATCTTTGCACTTATCCACATTGAAACCCATTCTGCAGTCCCCTTCCCACTTCCACAGCCTGTCCAGATCTTCTGGATCTGGATCACCTGCTCCTCAGTTGTGGCTACCACCTCCATTTTGGGATCATCCACAAATTTATACAGCAGACAGGTTATCCCCTCCTCCATGTCATTAATAAAAAGGCTGGACAGAATTGGTCCCAGAACTGAGCCCTGGGGCACCCCATTCATCACTGGCCGCCTACTGATAGCCATCCTCTGCTTGAGGTCCATGAACCATGCCCTAATCCATCAGACAGTGCATTGATCTATCTCAAGGCTCAACAATTTCACAACCAGGATATCATGTGACACTTTGTCAAAGGCCTTTCTGAGATCCAGGTAAATCACATCTATGACATCCCCTCTTTCTAGCCACCTTGAGAACTTATCATAGAATTCCATAAGGTTCATCCAGCAGGATCTGTTTATATGGAATCCATGCTGCATGTCTGCTAACCTACCTTCCCTATCTAGGGCTTTTCATATTATGACCCTTTCCATAGTCTTTCCCAGAATTGACATGAGGTTAATGGCCTGTAATTTCACATATCCCCTCTTTTTGAAGATCTGTTCAAATCTCCCCAAATTTGTACAAATTTACTCCATGCAGGAAAGTGGGGCTGATTCAAACTATTGAAGAAATTTGTACCAATCAAACTAGAAATCGGGAACAAGCTGGATGTAAGCATGTGTTTGACAATTTGTATTTTCAGTGGTCATATGGTGTTTGGGACTTTGAATGGGGCATACCTGGAAAGCAAAAATGAAAATTTAATACATCCGTAGTCATGGCCCATGGAAGTGTCCAAAATGCCAGAAACTTTTGTGGTTGCTATGGCAGGGATAAGCACATTTGGAGCATCTAGAAGCATCTTCATTTAATCTTTTAATTAGAACTCTTGAGAAACACTAACCAGAACCTGATGCAAAAGGCAGTGCGTGTAGAATTCTGAGCCCTGACAATTGTTTGGGATACGAGAACCAAATGGGACTCATAGCTCCTCCACACAAGAACTCAGTCCTGGCCATCCCAAGTTTATCAGCCCAGGAAGCAACCCACTTGAGCCTAATCAGGAAGAAGCAAAACCACTTGTGTGCAGAATAACATATGGCTTAATGAATATAGTGATGAAATATGGATGCAGATGATCAATAAACAAGCAAAGCAACAGCTTACCGATGTCCCTTCAGTTGCAGGGCACCCTAATATGACAGATGTTGTTTCTGGGGTGTGAATTGCTCAGCCACTTGTATGCTGCTTATGCTAAGTTGAAAGCCAAAGGGCAAATAAATAAGCTAAAGGTTTGCATAGCAGTCTCTGTCTTCCCTAGTTCAAGCAGCTGTCAGGAAGCCACAGGCTAATTTCTTTTCCTGGGAGACAAGGCAAGGTGGTTCTGAAGCTGCCGCAATAAAGTAAACAGTTTTGTTTCTCACAGCAAAAGCAGCTGTTCTTTATAAAGTGTAATTGGAGGAGATAGTTTCAAGGCAATTGCCATTCTAACTAGTATGAACTGAAGTTGTGTGTCAGTTCCTGGTGTGATTCCAAGAATCCATCCTGGTTTCTGGATGCTGTGAGAGTTCACTACACTGTTCTGAACCCTAATAAACTCCTTGTAAGTCTTCTGGTAGATGTAGGGACTGAGCCCTCTTCTCTCAAAATGCGATATTCCAAGCTAGAAAGCTCAGACTCTAGAGGTGAGCTAGCTGAAGAAGAGGAGGGATTGGACTGTTTTACTGAAATGCCAGAGCTAAAGAGTAAGATCGGCCAAACAGCTGGTGAGAACTAGATCAATTTATTTTGAAGGGAGATACTGTACAACAAGGCTGGCCAGAGGTGGAAGAATATCGACTCATCAACCCAGTGGTTCATTATTGAGCCAAATGAGTGGACCAATTAAATGATGTCTGGCATTCCCACCATCTGGCTTACAAGCAGTATAAACCTCCCTGAGGGTGAAACCAAATCCTTTTGGAGAAGATTCAGTTTGGAATCAACTCCTGACATGGGCAAGTGCTAGTTCCACCAGTCAGACAAATCTCTAGTTGGACAGAATTATCCAACAGCTAGTCGGATAGCTGCTACTTCTTAACTACTTTCTTAGTACTCTCTCTGTAATGCAAAGTCTGCCCTGACTGGCCAACCTAGTTCAATAAAGAATATACATCTTTCACCCTGCTGCTGAAAGGATTGTGAGCTTTTCACCTTTCACTCTGCTGCCGTGCACCAAGCTTTTTTTCACTTTATCATGATACTTTAGGATTTGTGTTCATCAGTACAATTTAGGTATGGTTTTGGGCTGGGTGTGTTGGCCAGAGCCCTGGATGCTTGTCTGCAGCCCTGGATCTGCTGGAAGTTATCACACCAAGGAGACTGTGTGCACAGATGCCTCTTCTTCATTTTTTTGAACTCTTAAGTGATGGTACAGATTTCTGAATTGTGCTATCATGCGCCGCAGTAACACCTATGCTGGGACAGTCTTTTTTGGATTGCTTGCTTTTTTGAAGTGAATTGAATTCAGAGAAGTGATGATATGTTGCTTAATGAAGAGGAGTAATATTGGCACAGGATTTGGATTACCTGAGTGAGAACTGAATTTAGGATAATGGGTCAGTGCATTGAGCTTATTGGGGTATTCTAGAGGTTGGGTGTAAATATACTGAAAAGCTTATTTGGAGTTACTTGAATGAGAAATGAATGGATTTTCCCTTTGCAAAATGTCCATGCAAGCCATTTGAAAATTTGAATGTACATTGACATGCAAATGTTATGCAGCTTTTTATATATGGGGCCAGATCATTTAAGTCCCTATCAAGTACATAGTGATGATCCTGACTGGAAAGGATCTGTTTTATTGCTGCTGTTGTTAAACAAGTGGGATCCAGAAATTCTTCCCAGGCTCTGACAATGAGATTGCTTTTCTCATTGCTCAGAGAGGAAATCTACCAGTAGGTCTACTTTCCATCCTTCTCTT